TTCTTGAAAGAGTCTGTGAGTTCCTTTGTTGAGCACGCTGTAAAGGTACTTCTTCGATTCTGGCAATTTTCACGATCGGTTCGCAGGTGCCTATTACTTGCCTTTCTTGAGTTTTACTCTGTTATTATTAGGGTTGATTATTTTTACTGGAATAGTCTGATTGTTACCATTCACGAAAGATCAGACCACGATAATTTCCGACCCAGAGCCAGTGGATGGCTCTATCAATGCTGTACTCAAGCCGCCATGCCCAGCAATTTTCTCTTGAATAATTTTCTTGGTGTTGGGAGAGATTCTGGAATCTTCCAGTATAACCACCTTGATGCTATTATAAGGATGAGAGGGCACGTTGAGCAACATTTACTCATTTTCAACTTTCAGCAGTTTGTGTCTTATGTCCACCACGAATCCGTAGGGGGACATGATGTCTAGTTCGAAAATTAATTCGTCGACGATGTTGGTTACTAATACCTTAGTTTCTATTTCGCAGATTCCAAGCCTCAGTCTCACTTCAGGTTCTCCATAGACTGTCAATCTATTTCCAATGGCTTTTTCCAAAACAGGTACTACTGATAATTTCTTCAAACTGCTTCAGTTGGAAATGTCGGCTCTCATTGCTGTTCCAGTATCGATGGTGAAAAGGCACTGATGATTATTCATCATGGAAATCGAATACCTGGGGGCTTGGGATGCAGCAGTCATTGTACCCCCCTAATACTGACTGAATTTAGTTTTCCGAACCCCGACGCGACGCTCTAGTTCGGGTGATCCCGAATGCCAGTCTCCTTTTTCGTTGGATACTCAACACTATAACTTTTCGTTGTTGTCGTGAAGCATTTTTAGTAGCTTCAAATTTTGGGGCATAAATGATGACTTCATTCAACTTTTTATGACTTACCATTCTCAATGACTGCTGCAGCTCCGTGTCATAAACCCCCTCGATGAAACAGTGGATACTAATACAGTGAGTGAAATTGTAAGGTGCTATTGGGAAGGCGAGTCTTACTAACCTTTCGACTTCGGCCCCAAACCCCTGCAGAATCTCGGATGGACCTTGAGTTTTCACCTTCAATTGAGCTTGAGAGACTTGTTGAAGGAGCTCACTACTATACCTGACATCCAAAGCATCCTTCTGCTTTTTCACTGGAATATTTTGCAGAATTTCGGACGCCTTTACTTGAAGCGCCAGTATAAAAGTTGTTCCTTTCTCTTCATTTCTCTACTCATTATTTTCCGCAGCAGCCTCAAATTGTCTGCGATGAATTAACTATAAATATTCGCCATATAAAGTTGAAGTTTTCATAAAACTACTGCTAGAAGGGGAAGATGTCGTTTCCGACTTGCATTTTTCCACAGTAAACCTTTTCGGGTCCGGTGATTCTTCGCGAAGTTTCCGGAAAACCTCATCAAACTTTTCGTCGACTCCTTCAAGCTCTTCTTCAAATTTATTTCCAACCTCCTCAAGCTTCTCATCGACTGTTTTTTCTAATCCCTCCTTTGTTTCCCGATACATTTTTCCAAATTCTTCCTAAATAAATTCCTGTACCTCTCCTTCACTCACTTGGGAAAATTTCAAATCTTCCAATGAATGAAGGTACATCTGATTGTCTTTTTCCTGTTTTTCCTGAATCTCTAGTAGTATACGATCTTTATTTCTGCGTAACTTTTCTTCCTCCTTCCGTCGTTCATCTTCTTCATTTTGGGGTAATCGTTCTTCCTCACTTCTTCGTTCATCTTCCTCTCTTTTGCGTTCATCTGCTCTCTTGTTATCTCCATGATATGGAGGTATTCAGACTTATAACACCTTTGAATATGAAGAAGTCGGAGATGATAAAAAAGGGACGATACAGAAATTATAAAGATAGTCTGTGAGTCAGGAAAAAAAGATCTGATAAATAATAACAACACTAAGGATACATGTGAAACAAGCTCACTAACTCCATCAGGCAGCCTAAAAGTAGGTTTCGATAAAGAATCTTTTGACAGAACTTTTAAAGGTGGTTGAACGCTGTGTCTGCAATGTAGTAATCAGTTTTGTAGAATGCTATGGCCTGTTAACGCTTTCTCAACATTAGTTACCTGGGTATAAGAGGTCTCTTGTTAAAATAGTTTGAGTATTATTTTTCCCACAGAAATATTCTCATCAAAGTAGAACAACAACTATTGAATGAATGCACTACTTCTCTTGGTGTTCCCCAAAGATATGTCTTGGAACCCTCAACTTTTCTCCTTTTTGTAAACGATATTCCCAATCATATTACCGCGGGACAAGTAACGAAGTTTGCCGATGTCTCTATGAAATGAAACAATGGTGCCAAAAAATCGACTCATTTCAAATACTGATATGACAACCTGCATAAATTTCCATATGAGGAAGCCAGTTACAAAAACCTTTTAGAAATATCTAATATTTAGTGAGAGAATCAAGTTACTCGGAACATGGCCCCACATAGACTTTGTAAACAACTCAATGAAGCATACTATGCAATTCTTCAGATGAAACTAGTTTTGGACCAAAAGAGATTGTTGAGTTTATACTATGCGTTTGCATATAGCCATATATCAAATAATATTGCAACATGNAGTATAGAACATGGTCAACAAAAGTGATTTGGATTTTGATAGGGTGTTTCATTTGAAATTTCCAAGTTGATGTCTGTTACATGTAGATGTGGCAACATTGCGGCGATGAAAATATTTTCATACGATTGATCATAATCATTTACATCGGTAATCAAAATTTAAAACTCTCATCTTTTTTTGTTCTCTAGATGTCTAATAGACCATCGAATATGGAATAACCTGTATATACATATGTATATGTGGATCTGAATAATGTACTTCAAAGCAAACTCAACAAATGAAATTGTTTATTCATGTTTACAAGTATGATTTGAAAAATTTGTCGACAGCATGGGTGCAGTTGATCCCTGCCCATTTAGTTTATAGCTACTTTTTTCTTTTTTTGATTGGAGTGGGATTAGGATCGATTTTCGTTCCTCAGTTTTTTTTTCCTGTTGCTAAAATATTTATTTTTTGCTTTGAAGTAAAATATTTGATATGAACTATTTGAAAATATATCTAAAGAAATGAACTTTGAACGTTCAAGCCAGTCCATTTAACCTACTGCGTAGGTATATTTGAGACTGGCTTGAACGTTTACAGTTTCATTTCTTTAGATTTGTTAACTGCCAGTCTTCAAGCATAGCCCACTGACTAATAAGAAAAAATATTTAGGCGGGTTGAATGTTAGATCTCTGATACCGTCATTTTCAGAGGTTGAAAATAGTATAATACAGGAAAATTTTGATATTTTTACAGTTTGCGAGTCTTGGTTGAAAGCGGACATACCGGATCATCTGATCAAAATTAATGGTTTCAAGTTATTCAGGAAAGACAGGCAGAGCCGGGGAGGTGGTGTTTGTATATATGTTTCGGAAAAATTGAAATGTGAAGTAATCAGTCAACCTAACCGTTTTTGTGAACAATTTTGGGTAAAAATTTCTCTTCAAAGAAAATCTCTTGCAGTGGGTGTAATATACAAGCCCCCTCAACAAATAATAGTATTTTAGATTACTTCATAGATCAATGTAAATTAAGAGTTGTTGATAAGGAGCGGATTACAAAAATGTGTACATACATGTAAAATGTGTGAATTTTAAAAAAAAATTCAATGAAAAACTTTTTCAGAGAGACTTACACAATATGCCATTCTTCCAAATATATAATCAAGAAAGTATTGATTAAAATTTTTTNTAATATAATTGTTATTTTCAGCTATTCATTTTTAATACTTCTTTTTTAGTTGTTTCAGGGATTTCAAATCATTTTATATAGTAGACAATGGAAGTCCGAACTAGTGAAATTCATCATGAAACATTGTCAATCACCATCAAGGATCTTGATTGGCGCAAAACCACTTGAGGCGAACACAACACTGGAAGAAAGAGATTAGAGAAAATTACCATCTTATTAGATACAGGGATGTATAGGTAACTCATTCGATATCCAACCACCAATATTCTGAAAAGAACGAATAATCTTCTGAATGATTTCATAAATTTCATTATTGACTAATTTCATAGTAATTTCATAAAATACAGCTTACGATTTGATCTTCACGAACTTTATTTTTGAAAACTATATTACGACATATTTCGCTATCCAAATAGCTTTTTCGTAACGAGAAGCTACTGTCATAGCAAAACATGTGATTATTTTTTGAAACTAAAGTTAAGTTGAAATCGTAAGGTTTAATTTATGTGAAGGACGAATAATCTTGTCTATTTATCTGGTTTTGTTGATAATTCGAAAACGCTGCTCAAAACCACAATAGGTTCAGCTACTTTTGAGCTGGTTGAACACTTGCAGCCGCTCACTGGAAAAATAGAGCCTTTCGTTAAAGACTCAGGACATTTTATTGAGAAGACGAAAGATATGAGATTAGATCCAGCAAACATCCTAGTGAGCTTCAATATAGTCTTCTTGAATACAATGGTTTCGGCAGACAAAAACGCTCTATTCGAACATTGTTTATCATTGGCGTAGTTCCAGTGGGATGGTGCTTTCTATCCACAAATGGATCAGAACGCAATGGTCAGACTTTCAAGTCCTATGGTAGCAACCTTTTTATGGGAAAATTCAGACAATGTGCCTTAGCGAACGTGAAACCATATTGTTGACTGAGTAACGTTGATGACACGTTCGTGTATGAAACTAGTTACTATCCAAGACTATTTAGAGAAGCGATATAAATTCAGGAAGAGAAATGATTTCAGCGGAAAGAGATCAACATTGATGAAATCTGGATACATAGCTCTTGTATTAGGTCTTTCAATCCAAACAATATGAACGAAGCCCGTCACTGATAAAATAAATTTAGGACCTACTTCGAGGACAACTAGAACACTGTGTCCGTTGCCGCATGGCCTTTATTAATGTATACAGCAGTTGTGCCCTCTTTTCAATTGAATGTGAAAAATAATAATAACCATTTTCAGCCCTGAACGAAGCATATGGTCAAGCCATAATGTTTTTCGCAGCAGGATTTGAAACCACAAGTGCCGCTATATCTTTCACTCTTCATGAGTTATGTCTCAATAAAGATATACAAGATAATCTCAGAAAGGAAATATCTGAAACTATCGGAAAATACGGCGAAGTTACATATGAAGCAATCCAAGAAATGAAGTATTTGAGGATGTGTATTAACGGTGAGTGTTTCCTACATAAATATTGAAGCATTGAACGTATCTGGCAAACTCTGAAATGTTAAATATGATAACTATTTATTAAGGTGGTGTCTAGGTGCTAATGTAAAATCATTCCATCATTATTTTTGATAGAAACATGTCATATTGAATTGAGTGAATTCTTTTCGCAGAAACCCTGAGAAAATATCCAATAATACCATTTTTGGATCGTATTTGCAAAGAAAATTATGAAGTACCAAATACCAATTTAATAATTGAGAAAGGAACACCAATATACATTCCTATATATGGATTGCATATGGATGGAACCCACTTCCCGGATCCTGAAAAATATGATCCAGATAGATTTCTAAAGAAAAATATCAATGGAGCTGGGTTTGTTTACATTCCATTTGGAGATGGACCCAGAAATTGCTTGGGTATGTATCTTTGTATTTTGTATCTTTGTATCTTTGTATTTTGCTGTGACAGATAGCAAGACATCTGCAAAAGGGCGGTCTAGATGATTAAGGGAAAAAGATATTACATATAAGTGGAAAGCTATCTCAGTGTCAATGGGAGTATTTGGATTATCTTTGGTTATTTGGGGTACCTCCTAACTTCACGGAAATATTTCTTTCAATGTATTCTCGTAGAGTATACATTTATATCTTCAATCCACTAATGATCAATCTCAAGCGAACATGTGTTACGGGCACTTGGTATACACAAAATGATATATGTGAGTGGAACCTCTGGCGTGAAATGAATCTATTGAAAACATTTTTCCAACATCAGAACAAAAATTACAGTCTCTCGACGCGCGTATCGCTAATCAAGTTTGCGTTCCTAGTTATTATGACTGAATTTCACTACTGTGTTAGTGTTTTTATATGCTAGTGGCCTAACTACTACCTTTTATTGCTCCTATACTGAACTATCGTTTTTTTGATACCTTTAATTTGTTATGTATTTCCTCTATGTTGGTGACTATCCCCTATATTTTTTCTTAACTATTTATCTGTTTCTTATTTAGAATAGGGAATATGCATAAAAAATAAAATAACCTGATTTTTTTTCCTGAGCTTTTAAGGTCCTAGTATTACACCCAGTTCGTTATTTTTTAATTTAATATGTATTTAATTATTTAAAACATAAATCAAAAAGTGAAAAATTTACGAGCGAAATTCATTTTTGTAAAATTCCCCACCATTGGACCGAAATGAAACGTGACGTCATACGGCATGTCCTGTCAGTCACCTGTGATTTATTTTCATACATTCAGGTTGTGTTGGAGAGAAAAATTGGTTGTATTGCTATTCTAGCTTAGTTTTCTATTATTCTAATGTCAAGAAATACTAAGCGTCATCAACAGCAATGACGGATAACGGTTTTGTGAAAGCACAGTCGGATAATCTTCCAAAAATAGATGCATTCATGATGACCACATATTTTGCGTCAAATCCGGATTTTACATCTGCTGAGGTTAAGGGATTAAAAGCTGCAAGGTAATTATTGTTAAACATGGTATTTTTAATCTAGTAAATCTCTTTTTATGCATACATGCACTTATAAAATTATTTCCCTCAATATATTCATTGTATGATATACGTAAATAAGGTTATGAACTTCAAGGTTATGAAACTTCATCTGGTGTACTTTTTATAGTGTTTGGACACATTGGTACCATGCAATATCTATAAAATGGCTTTTTTTCTTCTTCCATGATTAATACACGATATTTAAACTAAAACACCTTGGTAACTATCAAACTAACTCTCAATGTAAACAATAAACTGACAGGACGTGCCCTATGACGTCACGCCTCAAGTGCGCGAGAAATAAGAGCGTTTGAACTTGTCAAATTAAACCAATATTTTTAAGATTGTATGAAAAAATAATTACTATTCTTACAGCTATGTTTATTTTTTTTATATATCAAAATGAAGTGAATATTGAATGAAAAAAAATTAAAAAATTGTCTGCATATTCCCTATTATAACGAAGGGCTGTTTGAAATAGGACTTTTGTCGCTATTCATATGACACATTCCATAATTTTCGATTTCTGAGCTTCCGAAGACATCCAGAAATCTGTTGTCATGTACCGGTCTCGGCATATTTTGAATATTTATCACTTATTCTATGGTCGTTCTCTATGGTATGTTAGATTTCTTCGGTCTATGAAACAAAACATGCAAAACATTTTCCTCGTAGCGAGCTAATATAGTCCGTTTGGTTTGACCAACATATCACAATCTTTGCAGCTTATTTCGTAAATCCCAGACTTTTCTTTTTCCAATATCTTGTCTTTTGGACTGCCCAACACTTGTTGAAGTGTAAGTGCGGTTTTGAAAGTTACTCTTACATCCAATTTTGTTAATGATCGGACCAATCCATTGGTGTATTTGGATTCATAAGGAAGCACTATGAATTTTGAAGCTTATTTTTTTCGAAAATTCAAGGCATTACGAAGATAATCCCTAACTTTTCGTTTTCTAATTAATTCATCCATTCTATTTGATGGATACCCGTTGCTTCAAGCCACCTCCTTAACAACTTCTTTCTCAATCTCATACCTTTTTTTGCTCAAGGGAAATGTGAGCAGTCTATGGACAAGAAATTGTAGTCCCGCCAAATTTTTGTTGTGGGCAACGATATGAGCAGTCAGGGATATACCTGAAAGTTGTTGAAAATAACAAAAAAATACCATTCCTGTTATCCATTCCAGTTATCACCCGAAGACGATTGTGGATACAACAATCGAAACGTCGTGAAGTAACTCGGCTTGAAATCTTTGAATTCTTAATTTTCATTTCTTGTTAACACTTTTTAATTTTCATCTCGTGTTAATAGTTCAATTTTTTGATTTTTTGATTGCTACTTGTGTTTTATTCCATTGTAATTTCAGTTTTTTTGGTTCATATAATTGTTATTTTTCAGCTGATCTTTTTAATTTTTCATAGATATTTCAGGGATTTCCAATCAATTTATATCATACTAGACAATGGAATTCCGAACTAATGAAATATTCCCGGATGTACTAGTTATCAAAAATGTCGATAAGGGTCTAGATCTAGAGTTTGATGTATATAGAAAAAAGCACTTTCAGGTATATCCTTGGCAAGATTACTGCCCACAACAAAAAATAGCAGGACTACAATTTCTTATCCATAGACTGGCATGAGATTGAGAAAAAAGTTGTTAGGGAGGCCGCTGAAAGCAGAGGGTATCCATCAAACATAGTGGATAGATTAATTAGATAACGAAAATTCAGAGATTTTCTTCGTAATGCCTCAACTATTCGAAAAGAGAAAGATGTGAACCATGTGAACCTATATATACCAATGGGTTGGTCTGATCATTCAAAAAATTGAATATAAGAGTGACTTTCAAAACTGCACGTACACTTCAACAAGTGTTGGACATAGGAGCATTTTTCCCTTGCTGTAGCATTTTTTATTCTACTATACATTTAAAATAATTCGAGCTATTTTTCTCTCGGTCTTCTCCACCCGCCTTCAGTATTCCATCTGATATTCCACTTTCTTCCGCACTTGCAGTATTTTTCAATTTCTTCATTGTCTCCTTCACCTTCTCAGCCTCGGGTCTTGTATTTGTCATTTTCTTATACTTCTTGATCTATTTTCATCTCTCCTTTTTCCATCGTTCAATTAATCATGGAAATTCTCTGCCCATCTACTTAACTCATCTGTTGTATCGTGCAAGAGTAAGCCTTTTTCATTTCTATTGAAAATTGTACGGTTTTTTGTAGGCACTCGTGTTTTTTTAATTCTCGATAAAAGTTTTCAACTTCTTTCCAGGTGTATTTTTCTTCAATTATTTTTTATGAACTAACTGACCCGTTAAATGATGAAAATAAATAAACGACTTTCACAACCATTTATCATTTATGGACGTGTTTCGCTAATACCGGTAAGTTACCGAGGAAGCTACGGCGTTAGCGAAACGCATCTAGAAATTATAAATTTTTGTGAAAATTGTTTAATTATTATAATGGATAGAATTATTTTTTTTGTACTCTCTTCTTTATTTGTATTATGTAGACAGCTTTCAGCTTCATATATAATTCCAAAATACTAGGGATTGATTCTCGAAAATGACTGACGATTTTGCCTTAATCTGACTCTTGCAGTGGGATACAGAAATTATACTGAATAGATAAGGAGAAATGATGATGAAATATCAGTATAGAATCACAACCTTGACAACAATGTTTTCGTTTAAATGCAATAATATTGCTGATAATTTAGTGCCTACTATTATGGAATTGTACTATTTTGCTTGGTATTATTTAATTCTTTTACTTCGAGGATGTCCCCACCCCCCTTGTCAGCAAAAGTAAGGAAAGCTCTCACCCCCCCCATGTTTACGTAAATATTGTAATTTGCATTTTTCTTTTAATGTATTCTGGTTTTTATTGATTCATGAACATCAGTTATAATTCTAGAAATAAAATAATAGATTTAAGATGTACTGTAATGTTCATAATATTCATTTAAACAAAACTTTTTTGACCAGGTATTCAACAAAGAGTATGATACAAATATTATAATCTCAACTGATATTACGAACAAAACGAACTTTGAAACAGTTTTCAGTCTATGACACCCGAATCGATGATTCTAAGTTTTCAGTGACATTGGATGTTTGCTGCTCAATGTTATGTGTCTACTCACATTCATCCGATTTTGGAAAGTCTACGCCGTTCTCATCGAGCCATTAAACATCGTGGTCCTCCAAATTTTGAAAAATGTACATTAGTTCATCAGCACTACGAGCAGCGACTCTCAAAGGCCTAACTTTGGCATATGTGTAGGTGTTTACTTTTTTATGGATCTTCTCGATGTGATGATTTAGTGACTTGACGGAAGCACCGTATAGTGCTTTACTTTTATATGGTGACGAAAGCATGATACGTTTTTGCATGTTCGACCTGATAGCTTCAATTTTATCGTCGGGTCGGACAAAAATAATCGTAAGGCATTTGCAGGAAATCTTTGAGAGCAGCATTTAAGTGCAGCATCCTAAACCCAGTCATGAACTGTTTGTTTTACTTTTACTGGTGGTGGAAGAAACCTGTTGTCTATTAATCTGAAGAGGCCACTTCTTTCATAGTTTGAAGCAAGTATTGGCTTTCACGCACATGTTCTGTAAACCATTTAATGTGTGAGAAGGGTTTGCTCTCGGCTGTTGATCTGTATTTTTTGTGTTCTCGAATTGTGAATTTACTTCAGTGCAGAATCTGCATTGTACCCCTGTCTTAGGGTCTGTTTGCAGTCATCACAAACCAATTTATCTTTTTCTAATTTCTGTTTCTCCAATGATGGCTGTTAGAATCTGCGACCACTCTTCTTCTATGCTGTCAAAAATTGTTCTCACCAATCTTTTATGTATTTTTTTCTTTCATCTTTTCTACGACTGTTTCATGTTTATTTGATATGTTTTCTTTTGTTTCTTTTTCTTGCCTTTACTAGTATATCTTGTTTCAGTTTCACCATTGTTTATATGTGGCCACTGTCGGCATCTGCTTCTCTATGACTTTCACAATTGGTTACTGTTTTATTATGTTTACCATCAGATAAATCCACGATACTCTAGGCATATTTTTGAGATCAATTATTTGGGTCATCAGTAGAGATGTATTAGCAGCCCAAGTCATTCCACAATCTGAAAAATGAACAAAGCCTAATTATTATTATCTTCTGAAGTGTAATAATAAGGAATCTGAAAAATCTGTCGTATTCATGAATTTCGCCTACAAATTGAATGGAAACAATGAAATTTCTATATTTAGCTTTCTTTAGATATTTGGTATTTGGGAAAGTGATCCTTTTATATTCTAAAAACACAAAAATGACTGACTTGAGCCGAATGAAATTAAGAATAATTATAACACAATTATTGAAAAAAAAAATCAAATCCAATTGTGTCACTTTCTACCTACCCACTTAATGACTGAAAATTTCATCTGTGTTTTGGTAAAAACTAATCAGAAATTTAAACATTGGAAAGAAATTTCAAAAACAAACTCATTAGAATGAGCATGTAGTAGGAAAAATTAGTGAGTTCTCGTATACAGTCGAATACTTGAATCTATTGATTTCCAAGCATTTCAAAATATAGAGTTTCAAACCTTTCTCTTCCAGAAGTAACGTGTTATAGTGGCGGTTGAACTCATGCCCCTATGCCAAAAGATGGTTTAGACATGTGAAATTGATCATTATTTTCAAGAAACTACTGACATGCTCCTTCATTTTTTTGCAACATTATTATTTATTGGCCAAACGAGAAAAACCTTTCTCTAAAGAATAAAAGAGCATACAGAAGTGGTTTTTTGAAAGTGAAGACCAATTCCTCTTTCTAAACTGTTTTTTGGCAGAGTGTCACATATGAATCTCAATGTTTTCGAATGACTGGAGATCCAAAGATTTGAGAATTCGGAATATTTACTGAATTACCAAATGACTGGATACTTTCCCTTTATTTTTTTCCAATTTTGGCATTGGTAATCAGTTGTTACGAAAACTGGGTAATTTCTTTCCTAATGTTGAAATTCCTGATTAGTTTATACCTATACTCAGGTGAAATTATCAATTATTAGGAGGGTAGAATATAATGTTTTTCAAATTGTTGATTCATATAAAGCATTATTTCGGTGGAATTGAGGTAGTATGAATACCATTGTATAGTGAAATACGTGTTGGGTTTTTGGGAACTCTTTAATGAAAATCTTACCATAAAATGTTAAATGATTAATATTATTTTCGTTTTTCCAGGTGAAAGATTTGGACTGTTGAGTACGCAAGTGGCTTTAGTTCATATCATTTCACGATTTGAGGTTGAAAAATGTGACAAGACACCTGACCCTGTGGAATTTGAACCAAAATGTATAGCTGTTCTGTCTAAAGTTGGTCTTCCAATGATACTGAGAAACTACGGGGCAGAAATCAACTAAACACTGAATGCTGCTTTTGAAGTCGTAATTATTATTAACCTTCCTTGAATTTGTATTCAACCCATCAATTATATGAATATTCAGTAATTTTCCAAAAAAAAACAGGAACATAATGAAAATTAAATCAGTTTGATGATACTGTGTCAAATTATTTATATGAAAACGATTTATTGTTAAACGTAAATTGAAGAAAAAGAAACAATAAATTGATGGATGTAGCCGTCACTACGTGGTAAGAGATCATCATGAAAATTGGAAAATAAAACTTCCTCCTATGTTTTTTATCGCTTGTATTTGTAACAAACATTATCGCAGTAACGTCATATACGAACATTTTAAAAAGTTTATTGCATTCGTTTGAAAATGTCTGTAGGACGAAACTACAAACCTTAGTGACAAATACAAGTGGTAACAAAACATGAAAAGTTTCATTATCCAATAAAAAAAAGTACTTTCTTCGCAAGTAATCAAAAGTTAAATCAGTGAACGATATTATGTATATTCAGCAGTTACGCTACTGCTATATCGAGTGATGTCTCCACAAGCTTAGCAAGTCCCCAGAAATTGCTCATTTTTATTCTCAAATTCTTGTTTTATACATTATTTGATAATAGAAACTTTTAGAATCGGAGAAAAAATTATGTATATCGTCCAAACAATAGTCGTATGCATGTTATTCATATAAAAAAAGCAGTTTCATATGGCTATTTCCGAAAAGTTTTCTTTTAAATCAATTAAAATCAAAACAGTATATTGAAAAAAACATATTTTTGTAGTTATTTCGAGAGGGCTTTTTTCATGATATACATATCTTTATCAAGAGTTCATTTTGAAATTATTTGCGTTTTGGAAGCTTCACACATTTTTTGTACGTATCTCTCTTTGAAAAATACCCCTTCCAATTTGAACAGTACCTAAGATATTCACATAATAAGCAGGGCACTAAAGTCAAAGTTGTTTTCGATGGATATAATAATGATAGAATTGAAGCGTGAAGAGAATTTGTAGGTACATAAATGATACTTCAGTCGAATATTTGAAGGAGGCATACCTTCACAGAGAAATATTTAGAAAACAACTACAGGCTGCGTCAGTTTGATTGGTTTCGAATAGTTATGTGTCAACTCGTTGTTGCTTTTGATGAACTTACAAGTAAACTCTAAATTTGAGATATGTTAATTTGAGCAGACTCCGATTCTACCTGAATGGCTCGTATGGGAAAGACGTGTTTCACTGTGCTGTCATAAAAGTATTGTAAATCTGTAAATGATTATTATCTTATAAGCTTTGTTAGTGAGTAGTGATTGTGCACAAAGAATCATTCCATATTACATCGCTGAATTGGTTCTTGATTTGCATCATTAAACAAAATTTGAATATGGGTTCTCGAGTCAACAAACGGGGCGAGGAAGATCTGTAGATGTTAGTCAGAAGAATTTATTAACCAGGTAACCTATCACCATAACAGACACTTAATGAAAAATTTGAGAAAAAAATTCAATTGTTGAAAGAAAAATATGAGAGTATCTTGATGAACTTGAAAAATCAAGAAATACACACATGGAAAAACAAGAGAAATATGAACAGTACCGAAATATCATAGTTTATGGTGTTTCAGAGGGAAATGATGAAGACTGTTGTTCAGAATTAATTAATATTTTTAACACCAAAATGAAACTGCATATTGATCGTGTAAGCATTGAGGATTGCTATAGAATGAAACCGTCGAATTTGAATAAACCCAAACTATTTTTGTGAGATTTACCACGAATAATATTAAAAATGATGTTTACTATAAGAAGAATTCTCTGAGAAACACTGGGATTATTATCAGAGAGGATCTAACAAAACATCAGCATCAAATTGTCACGGATGCTATCAGAAGATTTGGTAATAATGGAAAAATATGGACCAACCGGGGAACTATTTTTATCAAAATCAACGAAAATGACACAAAAACGAATACTTTCCAAAATCAAATTGATAACAAAAATAATTCTACACTAGAAAACAAGAGATAATATTGTGAAACTGGCTTCGTAATTATTTGACATTTGATACTGATATGACAAATATTCAGTAGCTCAGTTACTTAAAATGCTGACTATTTACTTGTAAACATTGATGGATTGATGTTATTACGTGATCAGTCATCGTCACTCTGCGGATTTCGGACGCCTTGATTTCCTCGAAAACACATCTAACCCGAACTTTCAGTTCCTGTTTCGTATTGATAGGTGTTCTTTATACCTTTTCTTTGATTTTTCCCCAGAGGTGAAATGCTAGGGAAGTTAGATCCGGTGATCGAAGCGATCAAATCCAAGGACCCAATCGACGTATCCACCGATCTTCGTACATATCGGTTAGTTCCCTACTCACTTCACTTGTGTAAAGTCTAGGAGCTCCATTCAACTAATATCAACAATTCCGAGACAAGTTCCGGAGCAAATTATCCAGAAAATACTCACAGTCGATACCAGAATATCAAAATATTTTTCGGAATTCAACTTTTCTTCATAAATGCAAATAGAAACTTTATCATCCATGAGCATACTGAAAACATCAAAACTGACTTTTTGTTGAAATCCCCTTTGCTCAGAAGTGATTATTTTCACAATTGCATATTTCCTGATGTGGAAATTGTGATTCACCAGTTCATATAATTTTTTTCAAAAAGTTTATATCTTCGTATGTTAGTGCCATTTCGCAAAATTCTACCCGTTTTGGTAGATCATCTTTATGCAAAGCTTGCAGCCTAATTAATTTATAATCGTGCATATTATGTTTTTGTAACGTTCTCCATATAGAAATTCGAGATATTCCCAAATCAACTGCAGCACTAGATACTGATGATGATGATGATGAATATGACAGTCGGACAGTTTACGCTTGAAGAAGCTATTGTATAGCGAAACGCGCGTCGTAGTTTTTGTAAAACCCTTTATAGTGAAAATCATACAATAAACTGTATTAATTAGTTTTGAACAAGTTATTGTCAAATCCATTATTTTGTTTTTTAAATCAGACTTAGATCATGACACACCATTATCCTTGCCGAAATTCGGTTGTGAAATTTAAAATTAATGTTTAAAACTCTTTTGATATTCGAGTAGATGATTGGAAATAGAAAAAGTTTCACCATATGTATTGAATGAGTGAATTTTCGAAGGCCTGATACCTACGCTGAAATTTTAAGAATGTGTGCATTATGCACTTGATTTTTGATTTTATTGGAAATTTTATGCTTGCATAGGAGCATTTTTTTTAAATAGTTCATATCTCATAAACGGTCAGAGATAGGTATAGGACATGGTCAAAGTTGTTCACATTGGTTGACTTAATTCAAAAATTGAATATAATACAGGGTGTTCCATTTGAAAAAAACTAGTTATGGTCGTTTATCAAAAATACTAATGGAGACGTATTTTCCAGTATAGAATAAAATTTGAGTTCCATTCTGAAATAACAACCACCATACCTCATCTCAATGATGCCAGAAGTCGAGTTCGATGTATCAGTTGATTCATGCGATATTAAATAATAAAAATACCATGNGAGAGCATTGAAAAGAAATAGAACCGAGAAGCTGCTGAAGTATTATAAAGACATCAGGAACTATGTAAATAAGGCTATTCTACTACTACACTAAAACTTAACACTAAAACTAAAAACAAAGAAATGTGGAAAACACCAAAATCAAATGGAATCTTATCTGAAAAATGCAATTAAATGCCAGATCATTCGAATAATCCAAAGGATGTAAATAACTTTTTCATTAATTCTATACCTAACATGCAGACATCTCAAGATCTAATAACTTTTTACAAGTCTCTACCCGCTACCTTATCACGTCTGGTGGGAGATTTTTCTTCTGTTAACTGGTGACTATTCAGGAATCTGTCGACAACTGATATGTTACTGCTGCGACCCATCGTGAAAATAGAATACCTGGGGAGTTGGGATGCAGCAGTCAATGTACTTCTCTTAAGGCAGGCTGAATTTGGTTTTTCCAAACTTCAACGCTCCACTTGAGGTGATCTCGAACACCAGTCTCTTCTTTCGTCGGATGTTGAACGAGATCGACAGTCCCGCCTTGAATGTCCTTCTCTGCCGCAGTTATAACTTTTAGGCCGTCTTCTTGCCTTGGGTGCAGTTCCATTCGTCAAATATTTCTTGAAGAGTTCTTCAAGACCTACCACGACTCGATCTGTTCCTTCGTCTTCCTTTTCATTGGTGGCCCTCACTAGAACTTTTCGTTGTTGACGCGAAGCATTTTTGGCAGCTACAAATTCTAAGGCGTGAATGATGGCTTCATTCAGTTTTTTATGATGTGTCATCCTCAATGACTGCTGCAGCAGTCTTTTGCCTGTTTTTCCGAATTCCTTGTAATAATTCACGATCTTCATTTCTGCGTAACTTCTCTTTCTCTCTCCGTCGTTCATCTTCTTCATTTCGGCGTAATTGTTCTTCCTCTCTTCTTCGTTTATTCTCCGCCAGGCTCGCTTGCAAAGCCTCAAACATTTTCTCAAGCTTTTCCATTCCATCGTAATCGACACTCCATATTTTCACCATGAAACAGTAAAATTTCAGTCAATTATTTCATTTCCGACACCGAACGTTACGTTTTTTCCCGTGGGTTGATCAATATTGACTACACTGAGTAATCAAACTCAACTTTATTTCACTTCAATATTGTCGCATTTCAGTACTCGCTTGACTATTAACGAGATGATTTTATTCGCTGTTTCACCCATTCATCATTCATCCAAATAATGAAAAAACTCATTTAAACACTTTATTAAATATATATTGTGAAGAAACGGAAAAAATACTTTAGGAATAAACTCACACTCAAATGTTAATAGAAAAAATACATTGAAACACCAAAAACTTACATTATACTGCCACCCAGCAGGATTGAAGAAAAGGAGATTCGCTGCATTGCTGATGATCAATAGATACCTACTCAATTGAATTTTTGAAAATTATCTGTTCATGATCTTGACCTCCCTCAATATTTATGAAGATTTATACGCTGACATTGCAACTTTGATACGGTCACTGTACTAAGGTAAAATGCTCTGTGTAAAGTTGGCGTAGGAATCATACGTTTAAAGGTAAGACCTCGTTAGTCCTTA